AGCCCTTATTTTGCCCCCTTCCCCCTTCGCAAAGAGGGGGCAGATGAGTTTCTCCTTGCTGAGGGGATCATCCATGGAGAAGGTAGGGTGAAGGAGAAGGAAACAAAGACGCCCAAGCAAGAGAGAGGTAACTGGGGGCTCAGGCAGCTGTGCTGACAGCTGGTGAAGGCGCTGCCGGAGGGGCAAGGGGCCAGCTGGGGCAGGAGGGAGGGGAGGCAGCCCTGGTGCTCAGCAACGCAGAGCGAGATGTAGGGCAGCAGGTTGATCCTGGCAGGACAGGAGAGGGTCTGAAGGAAAAGGCTGGAGATCCTGAGGTCCAGAATGAGTAGACAAAAGATTTGAACACATGGATCCTGCTAAGCATCTCACTTTCTAGGCTTGCAACAGCTAGGCAGACCTGTTTTTCTGTCCCAAATCCTTCAGCCCATCTCTGTTTTTATATGATACCCATTAACAAGCTTTTAAGACAAAGGAAAACACAAAGCATGTCTATATAAAGGCCTTCAGCAAGAAGCGCTGAAATTTATTCCAATTTTCATAATTACAATAGAGACCTCTGACTTTGAACTTCTAATTCACAACAGCAGTAAAAAAGGAAATGGTGAAATGGGTTGTATTAAAGTGCAATGATGTGGAGAAAACCATTGAAATAACACAAATGAGGCTGCAGTGAGAAATGAAAGGATAGTCTCATCCTAGCAATGACAGCAATATATAAGTAAATTATGTTACAGATAATTTACAAAATAACTTACAAAGATGAAGATAAGACGAATCTCATGTTGCCATTCCATTGTTAAATATCAGACTAAATATACCCAGTCAGCACAGTATTATATGGGATAATTAAAAAAAGATCAGAGGATTTCTGCATTGGAAAAGATGACTGAATTAAAACCCTGATCAGCCTTTATATTGCAGTATTGCAAGAAACTTAAGTATTTATGAATTGTAAAGTGACACATTCAGCAGCATGAAGACTATAAATACATCTTGTACATTGATACATTATATCTACACACATATACATATCTACACTCACATACATATACACACAAGCACATACATTCACATATATATGTGCATAAATACATGTGTGTGTGTATATATATGTTTCAGTTTGTACTGACCGTGGTCAGCTGCATTTTGATTGCTTCTGGGATAGGGTTGCTTTTGCAACCTCGAAGTAAGATCATTCTTTAGACTATTTGTCCTTTACATTTCCTAAGCTGCAGCCTCTCAAATATAAAGTTCTGGTGTAAAGATAGACTTCAGGGCTCTGCCGTCAGAGTGTCTGATGACTAACAGCAGCTCCTGTTGACATAATCTGCTGTGCTTAGTGCTTCTGAAAAATTACGCTCTTAATGTCCACATTATTTTTTAAGTAATATGGTACATGAATCAATTTAAAAACTATTTTCATATAAGTAAAAACATTTGAGAGATGGATAGGAATGAATACAGTATTCCATACATACACACAGTTTTAGACTGTTTGTAAGGATGATGTGCAAAGAACATTTGACAAGGTGAAAATTTACAACATTGGCTTATATTATACCTTGAAAAAATGGCAAGTTCAGCATTACCCTTGCTTTAAAAAAATGTAAAATCCTTGTCTGTAGCATGTCTGACTCTTCTCTAATAAAGATTTTTTTTTCCTCCCGTGTTCCCCTTTTATAGAAAAATTTTGTCATTGTTTTTCTCTTTAAAGAAATCTGCAACAAACACTATTGACTAAAACTATGTCTGGTTTCTAGCCCTCATAGGCCTGTTTGAAGGAAGGCTCTTGACGCATAGTGCAGCCACAATAGTTTCCTCTGCCTGTAACTGCATGTTAATTGTGAGAGCTGAAGGTAACATTTAATTAAGAAATCATTTAGCAAATAAGAACATTTGTGTTTCATTGTGCACCTGCAAAAGGAAGAAAATGCCACTAAATTTCCAAGGCTATGTAAACACAGTGATCTTTGTAAAGAATTTGGTTGTGAGGCCAAAATACCTCAGAAGACAGCTATTTCATTGCACACGTTATTAAAATGTTGGCAAGGATAAAATAATATTTTCTTTTGATGCTGTTGTGGTCAATGAATTAGTCGCGTCTGCACCCCAGTCTCTAGGGAGCAGAAGAATATCCTGAAGACCCAAGAGAAGAGAACAGGCTGGACCAAACCTCCTTCCTGATTGCTCTAAGAGTCCCATTCACTGCATTGACTGAGGTACGTCCTTGGAGAAAGGGGTTTTTTTGGGAGGAGAAATTGTAAACTTGGATTTATTTTCCTCATATCTATCCTGTACAGTGATTGCTGTGTTATTAGTTTACAATGAGGATTTAGCACTGAACACATTTTGTTTGTTCATTTTCAGATTATGGCTGTTACAAAATGATACAGTTCTGCAGAAACCTGCTCGTATATCAATGCAAAAACGTGCTTTATGCTAACAGCTCTGCAGCTTCAGACTTCAGAGCAGAAGCCTCTAGAAGACCTTAGTTCAAAACTTTATTTACAACTTCACATTCCATGCACTTTTCATTGTGATCTTCTGACAGAACTTGTAAGAATCACCAGTGAAAATACTCATAGCTGGTAACACAGAACTGGTAGGTCTCCATTGGAGTCCAATGTCCAGAGCTCTGCACAAAATTATACAAACTCTGAATTTACCTTCCATGGAGGTGGAGTGAAAATTTAATGTTAGCCCTTAATGTCTGAGAAGCTGGTGCTGCTGGCATTGCAGCTATCACTGCAACTTGACGATGTGCTCAAAGTGCTGGAGGCTGTGCCTGATTCTGGGAAAAAAAAAGAAAAAACAGAAGAAAACATTATATGGTTGGGGTTTTTTTTCCACAACTTTCTTTCATATTAGGAATCTTCAGAAGACAATAATCTCAATTTATAATAAATAGCCTACCAGAGCTGCTTAAAGATTGAGCTGATTTTGAATTGCCTATGAGCATCAGCAGATTGTTTGCTGGGATCCAACCTTCTCTACCAGTGCTCAGGTTCTTTATATACCTAAAATAATATTAAAAAAAAAAAAGTCAAATCGCTTCATTTGATGCCTTTGAAAGTTTTGCCCTCAACATCTGCCTTCCAAACACAGTTCTGCGTATAAAAATTTCCAAACACAGATCTGCGTACCAAAGTCCATCCTCCCCTTCACGAATCAGTTGAACTACATCTCCACTTTTCACTGTAAATTCTTCAGAAACTCCTTTCTCATAATCAGTCACAACTGTGTATTTACCAGGAGTCTAAATGCACACAGAGGAAAAACAAACAAATTATTTCTATTGAGTACTTTAAGGTAAGTTGCAGCTTTTGTTATGAAATTAAGAGCACTTTTCCCCTTTCTCATGCAGATACATGCTGAAGACAGTGTAAATATACATACTGAGAGCCAGTAAAACTTTGCTGTTCAGTTACATGCAAATTCAGTACATGAATTCTCACACCCTGAAAAACATTCAGTCAAATGTTTCCATTACAAAAATTAACTCAAATCTGTACAAGAAAAAAATCAAAAGAAAAAAACCAAAACCAAACTAGAAAACTAGTGACACAATGTACATGTGGACATCTGTTGACATTGTAGCTGAGCATGCCGTTGCCTGACTGCCGTACTACTGCATAAGCAATCACAGTCTCACTAGTCTGCGGGTATACAAAGGCACAGATGGACCTTTCCAAGGTCCAACACAGGGCTGATTTAAGAGAAGGTGGTATTTTCCATTCCCTTAGGAATTTTCCACAGCTGAGGATTTCAAGGCAGACACTTTCCTTCCTGCAAGCTTCAAAAGCATTCCCATATTCTGCCACTCACAATGGATTGGTAATATTTGCTTAGCTCAATAGGAAAGCATTTCTGGTTACCAGCTTCATCTCGCCTCCTCCTTCTTCCTCTGCATCTGACGAATTCAGCGGATCTTCAGCACTAGACCAGCCGTCATTTTCTTCAGATGCATCAAGAGAATGAGAGGTTTTAGCCCAACCTTGGGGAACAAACAGCCACCAGTTAACTTTGCAGCAGTGAGCCACTGACTGGAAGAAATGTTCTTCCCACTGATAAACTGTTAAGTCACCAACATAAACAGGGGGAAAACTGCAAACAGGAAAGTTATTACAGCCACTGGGTGAAATTCACAGCTGTCAAAAGTTGGCCTGTTTCCACCAGGGTAAGTAGAGTTGTGGCAATGCACAGCATCAAATTTTGGCCCTTTGGTTTATATAGGGGGAAAGGAAAAGAATGTAAATTCCCAACTAAAAAGATGCAAATACTCCCTTATACAAAGATGAAGGATGAATAGATACTCTTTTTCTTGGGAGGAGGTAGAAGACAGGAACATGCACTCTACGAGAAGAGGGTGAACACATGGGGTTCTCACCCAAAGCAACCTAACCAGCCTGCTGGAACAAGGGACAGATGCACATAGCTTTGTTTGAACTGTTGAGCACTCAGAGCTGTCAAGAAATTCCACACAAGCTACAGGCACTCTGTACTTCACCTGATGAGGCAGCTTATTATCTAAGGGTACTCAGGCACAAGGATTACTTAATCATGCTGAATTATCTTGATGTTAAGTCATTGCACCAAACACCACAAGAACAATCTCCCATCTGTCATTTATTGCCAAGTGTTCCGTTTTCTCTCTCAGGGTGAAGAATTTCACTTGTTTACAAGGATGAATCATACCCAGAGTGCAAAAAATCCTTTTCCAAAAAGAACTACAGTAAGTTTTACTGGTGGGGTGCTTTTCACTGAGGTCAGCAGCTGCTAATAAACGTGTCAAGCTTATAAAGGAAAAAAAAGTCATGATAAAAGACAAATAAATATTTGTAAGTAAGATTTTGGTTCAAGCCAAAGGGTAACAACAATGAAATTCAATGAAAAGAAAGAAAAGAAGAACAAACCTCTCAACTTTTATGTAACTATTAGTTAAGTTGAGAAAGCACCAGTGTTTTTGCTCTTCACTGCTTCTGAGGCATTTGTCACATGGCTGGTCATATCAGTGCATTAGGAAAAAACCCGAGCATTGTCCGAGTAATGCCAAAGCAATCTAAGAATCATAGAAAGAAATCACACCCAGAACACACCAAACAGAGAGAGACTTCTACCTCGCCTGCGCTGTTGGATAACCTGCACAAGGTTAGAAATACTGACTCCTCTGACCCTGTCCAGGGTTAAGAATGAACCTCCTTCTGTGATGAAACTGAGCAATACATTCC